AAGCAGAAGACACAAAACCTTAGGGAACCTTCAACACTTCTGCCTGCCGTGAACTTGGCATTGGAATGCCGACGTGCTGAAACAGGCTGTACTGCTGGTGGGCCTCTGCCAACGCTAAGTTCAGGCTATTAACTTGGTTTCCCCTGGACAGCCCTCCAAGTTCAGATGATACAGGAGCTCTCCACACAGAACGGCAGATGTTTTCCTGGTTGTCCTTCCTGGCCTGTGCCCTTAGGGTATGTCAGTTCTTCAGGACTTTTTGCTGTTTTTCTGGTTCTAATTTCTTGCCATGTGGCATTCACTCGTATTACACATTTCCTAGTTGTCTTTAAAAGCACACAAATTTGCCTAACAAGATTCCCATGGGATACGGAGATCTTTTTTTATGTTTCTCTTATTTAGGATCAACTCTGATCACATGATCTAACCTCTGTGAATGCTGGGGCTTTGCAAAGCTCTTGTTCTTACTGTGACCTATTCATTATTCTTCTTCTATGTATGGATTTACTCTTTTTCGCTTTAAAGTATTGTCATGGACCTTTGTTTTACTTTGTGTAAAGAAACTCTAGGGGTGCCTGGGTGGCTCAGTCGTTAAGCGTCTACCTTCCACTCAGGTCATGATCCCAGGTCCTGGGATCGAGCCCTGCATTGGGCTCTCTGCTCCGCAGGAAGCCCACTTCTCCCTCTCCCACTCTCCTCTGCTTGTGTTCCCTCTCTCGCTGCCTCTCTCTCTGTCAAAAAATAAAATCTTAAAAAAGAGAGAGCAAGAGAGAGAAAGAGAGAAAGAAAGAAACTCTGATTCCCAGTGTGCCTGGGTGGCTGTGGGTTAAGCATCCAACTCTTGATTTTGGCTCAGGTCATGATCTCAGGGTCATGAGATCGAGTCCTGCATCAGGCTCAGCATTGGGCATGGAGCCTGCTTAAGATTCTCTCTCCCTCCCCGCCCACACAGGCGTGTGCACTCTTAAAAAAAAATTAAATACAATAAAAATAAAATAAATAAAATAAAATACAAAGAAACTGATTCTTTCCATGTGAGTTTCTAAAAAAAAATCAGCTCTTGCCACATTTGAGGAAACTCATCCAACATAGGATGCCAAAGAAAATCTCTAATGATAAAATCCTCAGCACACGGCCACCGAAGCCCACCCCCTACCCTCGGCAGCCAGCAACGGCAAACCCTCCCCAAACCCGGTTCGAGGAGCAGCCAGCTTTGGTTCCTGCTGTCTCTAGCACCTTGATAAGCTGACAGCCTGAGCCCCAGTTTCTGATTCCAAAGCAGACATGAAAGTAAGAGCTTGCATTTTAGAATCTAGCAAGGCCTTGACCAGCCAGTAAAAAGAGATGGGCTACCCAGTAACCTTCTGTGGCTATCAAGCACTTGATCAGTGCTACTGAGGAACTGAATTTTAGTTTTCATTTTAATGAATTTAAATAGCCACATGTGGCTAGCAGCTATTGCACTGGGCAGCACAGATGTAGAGAAAAAGACAAATACAATTTTTCAGTGTGCCGAGGGGCCATGCTATAAGGACAAGAAAAAACAAAAACACAACCAGAATCACCAAGTCAACCAGATGCTGCTGGGGACAAGTAGCGGGAGGGAAGAGGAGACCGAGCCTCCTTTTCACCTTTACTCCTGCCAGAGCACACGGCTACAGCAGCTCCACCACCTCTATCCCAACTCTTGATTTTTTTAAGATGTATTTATTTATTTGACAGACACAGCGAGAGAGGGAACATAAGCAGGGGGAGTGGGAGAGGTAGAAGCAGGCTTCCTGCCGAGCAGGGAGCCCGATGCGGGGCTCGATCCCAGGACCCCGGGATCATGACCTGAGCCGAAGGCAGACGCCTAAACGACTGAGCCACCCGGGCGCCCCCACCCCCACCCCTTCCTTCCTAAGACCACCCCCAAGACCAGCTGCCCAACACAGAAGGTCAGCGCGCACCGCCCCTGTCATCAGCTCCTGTCTTGCCCACCCAGTGGTGAGCTACCTGGGACCGAGACTGTGGGATCCAATGGATATAAACTTTACTTAACACACCGTGTGAACCAGATGCTTTGGGCAAATCCTTGCGTTTCACCTTCCCACAGAACCACCAGGAGAGTTCTACAGCCACTTCTAGCTCTAAGGTTGTCAGAGTCTATGAAATTAGTGTCTAAGACCTTCTGGGCCGAACGGCGAACAGGGAGACACAGAGGAACATCCCAAGAGCAGAGAGGCAGTGACCAAAATAATCCTACCAGTTGGACAGTGGAAACAGACCAGCTCTGCTCCAGCCCCCTAGACTATCCTGATAACAAGCAAATCATGCAAAACAGTCTTCTATCTTACTTTTAAGTTTTCTAAGGGGCAGCAATTTCACTAGTGATTAAATATGGGCAGTACAGTGTTCCTATTTTTATATTACCAAATTTTTCCTAACAAAACTTTCTACAACCCCAAATTCCATCACATGAACTATTTCTTTACAAACATTCTTTGATAGACTTTTGTTTTCATCTGTTTTCCTTCTGCTGTTTCGCCCTCTGCTTTCTCATAAGCTCTACAGGAGTTCATGTGAACACATTTCCTGACATGCCTGCTTCCATGTCATCCTGGCAGTTCGTGTGCTGACCTTCACAGCCCCCTCCCCCTGGCATGTCTCCCCTCCCAGCAGCTTGATCCCATGAGGCCAACTCTATTACTCCTTTTTCACTCTCTTTTTAATACTTATCTTTATAGCCTGACACGGTGGGGGAACACTCTGCAAGTTCTTTAACAAAACTGCTGTAAACTCACTTTATATTCACATTGTATTTATACCCAACTACACATTATGTCCACGTTCCCGGCTCCCATGTATTTGCAGGGACTCCTAGTGAAGATGGATCTGGAAGCTAATGCTATGAGGAACAGTCCTTCCCAGCCCCACTCCTATAAATAATGGTAGAGGGGAAAAAACCCCAAACAGACAAACCTTTCTGTAACAAGAAACATAAAGTAACAAATAGGCTGACACTGAGCCCGGCGAGGCTCTGAGCCCAGCAGACTTCAGTCAGGCAGCCCTCGGCTCCATCAGGGGGACAGGGGCTTGGGGGACCCCAAACAAGGGGGATGAGAACCAGGTCCGGTGCTCAAAGCCAGGGCCCAGCACGTCACGTCATGGTTGGCACCAATGGGGGAGCGAGTCAGACCTCCACTCTAAGACCCAGGTCTGGACTGGATCTAGGAAGGGAGAATGCAAAACCACAGCAACAGAAGCCGGGTGAGCAGGGGGGGTGGCAGGAGAGGGAAGAAAATCTCAAAAGAAACACTCAGAAGAGGATTTTACACCAGATGGAAAACAGAACAACTGGAGAATTACCTTAAAATAAGTACATTAGGGTCCTCGGTGATTTAAATGAAGAAACATTTTTAAACAACACAAACACATACATACAAGAAATTAAGAACCAAAAATAGGCAGGAATGAACCAAATAGAAATCTCAGAAATAAGAACTATAATCCCTGCAACAAAAATTCAACATAAACACATGACTGTTCACAAGGAATTAGTAAATGGAAAATAACACTGGGGAATCCATCCAGAAGTTAGCACTAGAAAAAGATATCCAAACCATGAGAAAGCAGTTAAAGAGAAACACAGAGAGACTAGTAAACTCTAGTGTGTCATTAACAGAAGTTCACCCAATAGTTGAGAGCAAAATACAGTTATTTTCAGATATACAAAGACAAAGGTAGTGACCGTTCACAGACCCTCAGTGTTTTGTTTTGTTTTTTTAAATGAAAAGCGATCGAAGAGGGAGAGAGAGGGAAACCAACAACAGGGAATAAATATGAAAATGGAGAGAATATGCCGTGGATTTAACTAACTGTAGAATATCACAATTTGAACGTGAAAACAAGTCAACCTAAAACTCTCCTCCCTAATGACAAGGCAGGTGGTGGGGAAGGCAAGCTCAAGTTCGTCTCTCAAGTGGAGGGTGAATGGTGTGCTGGGCTCTCAGGCAGCAGGAGAGACAAATCAATACCCAGGCACGAAACCTTCCTTTTCATTTTTCAAAGACTATCTAATTTAAACTTGGAAAACCACCTTGCTTCTTCCTCTAGAAAACCTGTCAACCCGAAGCCTTCAACACAACAGAAAATCCAGTTTAAAAATTTCACTTTATAGGAAGAAAGAAAACAGTTATGTCCGTTGCAAAATCAGTGGGACATCTCTCTGTGAATCAATAGCGTAAAAATCAAAATGTGAATGCCAGTCAAGTCAATGTACTTAAGGATGGGTGTTCACATCCTTCTTACTGAGTAATGCCACAGTGAGGCAAATTCCAGGACCATGCTTTAAGGAGTCCTAGAATGATATTCTTGCCCTTAACCTCATGTCTAGTATCAAGAGAAAAACATTTGGAGGCAAGTTCTCTCTAAAGAGCTTTTTCCTTTTTTGAACCAACACTTTAAGTACCTTTATACACATCAAATCATAACCCTACATCTGGAAAAGTATTGGCCCTGAACATAGTGAATGTGTGTAATCAGCCTTCTCTAACTGGTAACACTTATTCAGGTAAAACTACATCTTGGATGCTGCTGCCATAATACAAAGCGTGACTTCTGGGTTCCAAATGGTGAGTCATTCATTCATTCTCCTACCTTGCAATGAAAGTCTGAAGTTGGGTTTCAGGTTACTTCATTAGAACACATTTTTGGAGCTAGAAGGAAGCTTTCAGCATCCTCCAGCACACAGTAAGCTCTGGGCTGGCTGGCTGGCTTTACAATGTTCACAGCAATGCAGGCTTCCCTCCTGGAGTTAACCCCATCAGGTGACTCCAGCAGACAGCAGAGCCAAAATTAGTCAGCCAACACGGTTCCCGAGAAGACTATCTCACGTGAAAAGCATTTGGTTTTTGAATGCCTTAACCTTCACTGAGACAGGAGTATTAAAGCTAATCCTATGTTGATACAACACGGAAACTACTTGAGTCAAGCGGAGAGAAAGAAGGGAATAGAGTTACCGGAAGAGTAAAGAAACCAGGGTGCTTCGCTTCATCTTCGTATTTGCCTTCAGTTGAACTTCCGGCCTCCATGGATTTGGACGTGGTGTTCTTACCGATGCCCATCATTAAGAGAAAACGAGCAGTTCAGCCGCTGGACTGCCGGGGCTGGAAGAGAAGGCTTGTTCAGGCAAGGAGCCCAGCAGGATCTGAGCCGGCTCTCCCAGTACCTGGGGGGCCCGATGCTCAGGCAGAGAAGAGCCCCACAAGTGCCGCCATCTCTTAGCACCTAGAGAGAGGAAGCACCAAATCACCACAAACGCATAAAGAGCAGGGGACACACATTCACTGCATCTCCTGCAGAGAAGCTGGTTACAGTACAAGTTACATCCAAACATCAAAAAAAGCACATTACTTAATCACACTTTTCAAGACCCCACCATCTTCAGTTAGTCGTGCAGATTCTGAATCGCCCCCTGGGAGGAGGACTGCTGAACTGGGCCATCGGCAATACCCAAGTCCAAGGATGAAAAGGCTACACAGTGATTCTGTTGACACGCTGGATGGTAGAGCTCTCAGAGCCCAAGCACTCTCCAGCAGAAACTGCTGCAGTGAGGAAAATGTGCTGCATCTGCCCCGTCCAACCCAATCGTCACTACCCACGAGGCTGCGGGAGAAACTCAGCTTTTACTTGTATCTGATTTTAATCAATTTGAATTTAAATAGTCACGTGTGACTGGTGATGACCACACCAGACAGTAAATGCAGTTATAGCTAATATACTATGACTACCTGGATATCAAAGTTCTGAACTCCCTATAGGTGCCCAATTAAAGGTGGAGGAAGGCACTCAAAAGCATTAAAAAAAAGAGAGAGAGAGATGGAAACCAACCTGGGATTAAATGACCACACAAAGTTCTAGGCACGTGTCAACATGACCTTCAAATGGGCTAGAAGAATGCCATACAAAACACAGAGGCAAAACATTCCATATCAATCGAATAACAGCATAAACCTACGGAAGAAATCAGAAAGACAAAGTAAAAAGGAAGGGAGGTAAAATGGCAAGACATAAGGGAGGAGGGGGAAGGAGAGCAAGATGGATCTGGAATGCTCAGAGAAACCGATATTGGTCGATGAGGAAAAGTGCAATGCTCTGGGCTAAGAGAAAATATAAGCAAAAGTTAAGAGTAAGAAATTACTGAAACAATTCTATGCAGCCAAGTTTCAGTGAAGAAGAAAATTAAAAACTTAATTTCAAACAAAAGTTATGACTTGGACAATAAAAGAGATCCACCCAAAAATTAACAAGCATTTGGGGAATTTCAGCTTCAAAAAATGAGAGGACACAAAGGATCCCTACAAGGGTTGGCATCTGGACAATAAAACATGTCTAAGTATGCCCGAAGTTTCATTAAAAAAAAAAAAAAAAACCCACAAGCAGGTAGGGGTGAGAAGGGACAGAACATTCATCAGAATCATGTCATATCTCAGCACCAATTAATGTCCCACTGAGAGTGAATAACCCAGCCAAGCTGTCCTGCAAATGTTAAGTCACACCTACTCGATGTTAGAAATACAAGTAGGAAACCTGTTCGAGGATCTCTGTTAGGGACTCTTTCATTCAACAATGACTGGATGAACCAAGGGAGAAACTGAAATACAGACAAAAAAGAAGAGAAGGAATTATACAAAAATCTGGGAGTTCAGTAGGTAGAGCGCAAAAAAGGAAAATAAAATAAACCGTTGCCAGAACATCACGTTGCCTGCCTTAAGTAGAACAGAATCAAGTGCACACATCAAAGTGGTTTGAGGGGCTCTTTTGGTTTAAATGTTCTTGCACATTCTGCCTTCTTGGTTACATCATATCCATATCTATTTAAAGCAGTAGCTCTCGGGACACCTGGGTGGTTCAGTAGGTTAAGCATCTGCCTTTGGCTCAGGTCATGATCCCAGGGTCCTGGGATTGAGTCCCGCATTGGGCTCCTTGCTCAGTGGGGAGCCTGCTTCTCCCTCTGCCTGCTCTCTCTGCTTGTACTCTCTCTCTCTCTCTCTCTCTGACAAATAAATTAAAAAAAAAAAAAAAAAAGGGCAGTAGTTCTCAATCAGGAGTGATGTTCCCTCCAGGGGACATTTGGCAATGTCTGAAGACCTTCCAGGTCATCAAACCAGGGGAGAGCTACTAGTATAACAGGTAGAGGCCACGAGTACTGATAAACATCCTCCAATGCACAGGGCAGATGCCATAATAAAGAACTACCTGGCCCCAACTGTGAATAGTACCAAGGCTGAGAAACCCTGGTTTAAAAACATTTCCCTCCTCCCAAAAATGACACCCCGGTGTGCCACGTGGATCCGCAGCACAGAGCAAGGGATACATGTTCCGGTTTGGGAAGCAGGGACATGGATGTCACCAGACAAAGCAAACTCCGTAAAGGAATAAGTCTATGGGACTTACTGCCAATTTTGTGACTTTTAAAATAATTTTCCCTTGGGCGCCTGAGTGGCTCAGTTGGTTAAGCGACTGCCTTCGGCTCAGGTCATGATCCTGGAGTCCCGGGGTCGAGTCCCACGTCGGGCTCCCGGCTCAGCGGGGGATCTGCTTCTCCCTCTGACCCTCTTCCGTCTCGTGCTGTCTCTCATTCTCTCTCTCTCAAATAAATAAAATCTTTAAAAAATAAAATAATTTTCCCTTTACAGTAACTGGGAGGAGCGGGCCATTCCTGCTCATCTCTGCAGTTTGTAGGGAATATGGGGACCCATTTTACTACGCAGTTTCCAATACATAAAAGGGAGGACTTTCTGTCCTCAGAGGGGAAGTTAAGGACATTGCTTAGAAAACCCTGAAGGCTCTACCTGTAGCCCTAGCTGAGATTTCACTCCCAATTACCCTTTTCCTTGTGTTCTCACTTAAAGTGTTTTACAATTCAAAACAAAACAACACAAATTCCTAGCAAAGGCAAAGTTTGCAGAGAGGCAGGCAAATGATGAAATGCGTAACAAACCCTTCACACACCCCAATCCCCTGGAATAGAGTCCCTGAAGAGGACTAAGGAGGTAGAAGAGTTTTGAGGCTCTTGAGACATAAAACAAAATTCTCTTCCAGAAAGACTCTCCTAATTGGCGGTGCCACCAGTGACAAATCGATCCATCTCATCCAAGTTTGGGAACGCTGCGCCAGTGGAGAATTTTTCAGAGATTTTGTGATGTGTTGACTTGTGAGTTTTCCATGTCTGTTAGCAAGTACAGAGACTCTTCTGTGGTTTATCTCCTTCTGCCCTTGGCCTAGTGTTTACAAATCTTTATTTCTGTAAGGATCTTAATCCTTTAATTCTCTGTTTTTTGGTTACAAATATCTTATCCCAGCTTTTTGTTTGTTCATGAATTTTGTGGACGGTCTTTCAGGATTATTCTCACGTTTGTAATCAAATCCATCTTCTACACATTATGACTTAGCTACTACCGCCCATCAGCTTCCCAAGAGCTAAAAACAACAACAAAACCACATACAGCATGACGATGAACATACCCAAAGTGGCCCTGACAGACCTTTACCGTAACCGCCAGAAGCGTGGGTTTCCCAGAAGATAGGAAGATGGGACAAGCAAAGAGGACAGTGAGCCACTGCCAGGTTTTTACAAGACGCCATGCTATGTGGAAAGAGCCAAGATGTCCATCGACAGATGCATGGATCGAGAAGATGTGGTATATATACACAATGGAATATTATGCAGCCATCAAAAAGGAATGAGATCTTGCCATTTGCAACGATGCAGATGGAACTGGAGGGTGTTATGCTGAGTGAAATAAGTCATTCAGAGAAAGACATGTATCCTATGACCTCACTGATATGAGGAATTCTTAATCTCAGGAAACAAACTGAGGGTTGCTGGAGTGGTGGGGGGTGGGAGGGATGGGGTGGCTGGGTGATGGACATTGGGGAGGGTATGTGCTATGGTGAGCGCTGTGAATTGTGTAAGACTGTTGAATCACAGATCTGTGCCTCTGAAACAAATAATGCAATATATGTTAAAAAAAAAAAAAAAGAAGATAGCAGGAGGGGAAGAATGAAGGGGAGTAAATCGGAGGGGGAGACAAACCATGAGAGACGATAGACTCTGAAAAACAAACTGAGGGTTCTAGAGGGGAGGGGGTGGAGGAATGGGTTAGCCTGGTGATGGGTATTAAAGAGGGCACGTTCTGTGTGGAGCACTGGGTGTTATGCACAAACAATGAATCATGGAACACTACATCAAGAACTAATGATGTAATGCATGGTGATTAACATAACAATAAAAAAATAAAAAAATAAAGACTACATGCTATGGTTATCAGAAGTGCCACATGAGCCCTTGGCTCCACATGCAGCCCCACGGCCATCAGCGGACCAGCGGAGCTCTCCAACCCGCACTCACCCATGTTAACCGTAGGGAAAAGGACAGGGCTTTTTTTATTATTTATTTTTTTTGAGAGAGAGAGAGTGAGAGAGAGCACAAGTAGAGGGAGCGGCAGGCAGAGTGAGAGGGAGAAGCAGGCTCCCCACTGAGCAGGAAGCCCAACGCGGGGCTCGATCTCAGGACTCCGGGATCATGACATGAGCTGAAGGCAGAGAGACTTAACCGACTGAGACACCCAGGCGCCCCACAATAGGGCTTTTTAATGTAGAACGCATTTACTCTCCTAGGTGAATTGCATCTTCATGCTCATTTCAGACACGATCATCCCTGCAGCAACCAACCCCCCCCCCCACTGCCCCCATGACCAGGAACAAAGTTCCACTGTGGCAAGACCACTTTCCATCAAGCACTCTGTGTTTCTCTACTGAGTGTTTAACTGGCCCTCATGAGCTCTACTGGGACCCACCCACTGTCTTTGCTGTCTCTTACAGAGCAGCACCCTTCGGAATGCCCTGAAGACGCGTGGAGCCAAGCGAGCACAAGAGGGGATGGGCCCAAGCAAAGTGCAAGGCAGTGATGCTCTGAGAGAGGCTTTGGGGCAGAGGGTGCCAAGACCCGGGAAGAGAGGATACCCTTTACTGGGTAAGACACACAGACAGGGGAAGAAGGGAGGAGACAGCAGACACTGAGCACAGAAATGCATGCCTGGAAGTCCCCAGATGACAGAGCATTCCACAGCCAAGTACTTGAGAGTTACAGCCTCAAGGCCAGAACCCACGCACCAACCTGAGATCAGAGTGCTTCATCCACACAGGCCGAACTTGAGTGGGGAAATGCCAAGGCCCAGATGGAGATAAAAGGGGGAGGAAGGGTGGAGTTTAGGGTTTGTGTT